GAAATAGGATTCTACACAACGGCTAGAATATAAACATGAAGAACAAAACTTAGCCGGTGTAGAAGGAAATTATACTCTCTCAAAAATACAATACAAACTTATGAATATGAGAGTATATAACTAGAAACACAAGCTCAAAGTGTGTGTATAAAATTCAGGAATTTAAGGCTCATGAAATAGCCAAAATACTGAAAATAATTGATAAAAAGATGAACACACTTAGAATAAAAAGAGAGGATGTGTAGAGCTTTGTTTCTTGAAGAAATATGAAGGATTGGGCTTGTATTTATAGTGGAAGATGTTAATTAGCCGTTGGGAGGTGATTAGGGTTGATTTAATTCAAAATCACAAATCAGGAACAGTAACCCAACGGTCACGGTAGGGGGGTCCCGTCCATACGGTAGGGGGGTCCCGTGCTTACGGTAGCTAGGTACCTTCTCAGGCCAAAACTCTCTGGCGGTACCTATCTCTTACGGTACCCCTTACGGTAGTGGGGTCCCGTCCACACGGTAGGGGGGTCCCGTGCATACGGTACCTAGGTACCTTATGACCATTTTGACAATTTTTTCATTTTTGTCCAAATCATTTCCAATTTTGTTTAAAACCTTTTGGATGTTTGAAAATGATTATAAAAGGGTTTTAAACATATTTTGTGAGTGCTTTTGAGCTTGTGAATATAGGTACATAAAATCATATCCTTACATCGGTTTCTACCTAAATTCTATGCTAGTTTGGTGTTTCGACTTCATTCTTGAGAACCGAATCTTAATAGATTCTTGTTGTACCTGAAACACTTAAACACACGTCAAGCTCTTATATTGTTTGTTAACATCAAAACATGAGGCTTAGCAAACCAAGGCTAACAGTTTTGCAGTCGCATGTCAGAATACACGAGATTATGAGATAGCAAACAAAGAAATGCATATCCAACTCCTCTCAGAATGCGAACAATAACCTCATAATTTAGCACACCTATACGATGATGCTTGATCAGTTCAATGCTAAATAAACATTTATCTAATGGAATCATTAATAAATAATTAAGAAAGTATTAACATATTAATAATGACATAAATGATCCAATGATTAAAAGCTAATATATATGCATTGAAATAATATCAATTATTTCTAAATGTGTAGCTTGGAGAAGAAATTGTTAGGTTGTGGAGCCTGATGCTTAATGGTTAAGTTTGCTTAATGGTTAAGTTTGCTTAATAATTAAGTTTACTTAATGGTTAAGTTTACTTAACGGCTAAGTTTGCTTAGTGGTTAAGTTGTAATGCCTATATATATTCTCCTTTGTAACTGTTTTTTTGTGGAGAGGCAAAAGAGAGAAATTCTCTGTAAGTGTATCTGCCTGAAATCATCAATAAACACATCTAGCCACCGTGGAAGTTTACTCACGGGGTGTTACCATGTCATTTCACGTGTTTCACTTTCTCTCTCTACCTCTACTCTCTCGTTTTTCTTCACCTTATTCATTGGATTTCTGTGAGTGTTCTTGATTCGATCCTAACAACTGGTATCGGAGCTCAGGAGAATCAACACAATCACTGAAGATGGAGAGTTTGAAGGTTGGAATCGAGAAAATTGATGGAGCTGATCTTGGTTTTTGGAAGATGCAGATCAAAGACTCTCTGTACCAGAAAGATTTTCACAAACCCTTGACTGGGTGAAGCCAGATTCCATGACAGAGGAGCAGTGGAAGCTCAAGGATCGTCAGGCATTGGGGATGATCCAGTTGACTTTGACGAAGAACGTGGCGTTCAACATCGTGAAAGAAAGTACTACGGCGGGTCTATTGAAGGCCCTATCAAATATGTACGGAAAACCATCTGCGATGAACAAGGTATATTTGATGCGTAGATTATTTAATTTACAGATGCCTGAAAGTGGATCCGTGGTTGATCATATAAATGATTTCCATATGATTGTGAGTCAACCGTGTTCTGTGAAAATCAATTTCGAGGATGAAATTAAGGCGTTGATTTGCTGTCATCTATGCCCGAGTCTTGGGATACTGTTATTGCTGCGTTTAATAGTTCTCCTGGGTCTGAGAAGCTGAGGTTTGATGAAATCCGTGTTGTTCTTCGTGAAAATATTCGCAAGAGAGAAATGGGTGACTCATCGGGTAGTGCTCTCAGCGTTGACCAAAGGGGTAGAAGCAAGTTCAAGGGCCAACATCAACATAGCCGATCAAAATCAAAGAATTGAGGCAAGTCTCCGAATAGATCCGATATAACTTGTTGGAATTGTGGAGACAAAGGGCACTCTAAGGCGGACTGTAAGAAGCCAAAGAAGAAGAAGAATCAGAAATCTGGAGATGACGGTGATTCTGTAAATTCAGGGGGATGCTCTAATCCTCAGTGTGGAAAGCCCAGTTGAATCCTGGATTTTGGATTCTAGTTCATCTTTCCATTCGTCACCAAGCAAGGAGTTGTTCCAAAATTTCAAATC